GCTGGGGCTGGGGCTGGGGCTGGGGCTGGGGCTGGGGCTGGCACTGCTCTGAGATTTTCATCCTTGGCAGGACCCTGGTCAACTCTGAGGGCCAAAGAGTGTGAAGAAGAGGAGATCAGACGAGTCGGGGCTGCAGGTAAGAGACCTCGGTTGGGATGTGCTTCGGTCAGGGAAGCTGAGGGAGAGAGGGGCTCAGGCATGAGTAGGGGGGGTGTGGCTGAGGGATGCATGGAGGGGACACAACTGAGGCCGTCTGTGGCTGGCTTCCCTGTGTCCAGACAGCCAGCCACCTGTCCACTGCTCGGCTCCCCCTGGCCTCGCCCGGATCCTCTCCCTTTTCCAACACTGCGGGCCCCTTGCTTTTCTGTCCTGCCTGAATCTGAGCGGAAGAAAGAGTGGTCTCCAGAGCCGTTCACCCCAGCCTTTCCCATAGTGCAGATCACTGTGGTCCCCTCTTGGGACAAGAGTGGGCGCCCCCACTGCTGCCCCCCTGGCCGTGGTCCTATGAAGCCTGGGGTCTGGCTGAAGCTCTTGGTGACAAGGACCTCCCTCCTTGCCCAGGGCCAGCCTTCCACAGAGGCTGGAGACTCCCCGGGAGCCCAGGGCCCAACTTCCCTGCTCTCACCAGCTTTGGTCCCTGAATCCAGAGCTAAAACTTGGTCTGGCTGGGGGCTGCTTTTCCCGCACCCCCTCTCTGAGCCATCTGTCAGGCGTCCAGTCTGCACAGAGTCTGGTGGGGGAAGCTCATGGCGGTAACGGGGCCTCTGGGCACCTGCAGAGAAGGTGCTGGCTGCATCCACAGCGTCCCACACACTCACCACCGCACCCAGGCGCAGGGGGTCCAGCTTTGGGAGGCGCCGGGTTCTCTCTCCTGAGCTGTCATCCACCTGCCACCGCCGGCTGCCTGACCGCCTCCCCAGTGAGCCAGGTGGCCCCGCTCCGTGTTTCCAGGAGCCGGTGTCCTGTTCCACCGTGTGGATCGTGGCCTGTTGAGCTGGTGCCTTTGCTGAGAGGCCTCCTGCCTCCGCCTGCACCTCCATGTCTCTGTCCAGACTCGGAGGAGTGAAGTGTATCAGGAGCGGGGCAGGCGTCCCCCCGGTTTTGCTCCTACCCAGGAGGGCAGCACCCGGCCTGGGCTGCTGCTTTCCTGCACCTCGAGCGACTCCAGGGCTGGCATTGCCATGCTGCTGTCCCAAGGCCCCTCCACTGGCCGCCTCGATGGGTGTCTTGGGTGGAGCCGCGGCCGTGGCAGCCAGACCTTCACTTCCGTGGGGCTGGTGGTCCTGGGCACTGGCTGTAGCTGGACTCGCCTGGCTGGGTCCTGGAGGCTCTGGCTTCCCCTGCCCGGAGCTGTGTCCCTCGATGCCACCACTGACCTTGGACTTTGGGGTCAGGGCTGGCCCAGCTCCTCCCGCCTGAGAAGGCTGGGCTTTGGGGCCGGTGGATGCTGGTCCTGCTGCCTCCTGGTCCTGCCCAGAGCCAAACCAGTGCAGGGCCAGGGCCGTGGCAGCTACGACAGCCAGCGCCAACAGGGTGAGCACAGCACTGTCCCAGTCATCGTCCCCGTCCCCGTCCCAGCCCCAGCCGGGGCCACCAGGTTCAGAGGCGCCCTGGATCATGGTGCTGGGCCACCTGGGAGCAGGCTGGAAGCTGTGTGTGCCTCGCAAAGCCAGTCCTCCGCTCAGGTCTGTCCTCCTGAAGATGGCATCAGCGGTGTGCCCCGCCCAGTTAAGGTGGCCCTGGACTGGGAGGGGTGGCTCTCTGTGCCTGTACCTGGGCTTAGGGGCTTGTCAGCAGGACCCAGCTGGAGATACCAGGAGACAATTAGCAACAGCTCCAGGGGCCTCTCCAGGCCCCCCACCCAGCTCCAGCCCCCATGTGCCAGAAGCTCCAATGGTAAGCAGCGTACCTCAATACGGTTCCAGCATCCCCGCCAGACTGCGTCTGCCTCATAGACCCTCGTGCCCCCAAACCCAACCCACATCCCAGTGTCCCTCCTCTGAGCCTGGGTCCAGCCTCAGGGGGCTCTAGCAGGGAACAGTTACCCATAGGGAGATGTTATCTGTAGTTTTAGCAACACGATGCAGCCCTGATAAAATTACCAGAAACTCGAGAAGATGATTCCACTGTAGGCCAGTGGGGGATGGGTGGTGGTAGGGCCATAGCCTTGGTGCCAAGCCACAGGCTGGTCTCAGACTAAGAAGGGAGGGTGTGGGTCCAGCACAGAGAAGGCTAAGGCTGCTCCGGAGGGGCAGCCTCCGACCTCTGCACTTCAAGGTGCGCAGCGGGGGCTGGCACTGTTCTCTCCCAGGAAACTTTGGGGCTCAGGAGGAGGCCCCTCACCCTCTCCTCTACCAGCCTCGGGACTTTCTCTTGCCTGAGCTCAGCAGACACTGAATAGTTTTCAAAAGCAATTTTCAAAGTTGTCAAGAGAAAAAAAGTGATTTAAATAAAGAAAATCCAGAAGTTTGTATTTCCCTTTATTTGGCCTGAATTATTACAGCCCACCCAGCCCTTCTAGAGCCCCCTGGGCTGCCCCCTGCACCTCCAGTGTCTTGACTGCCCAAGTGCTGCTCTCGCCAGGCCCTGGAGCACCCCGAGTCCAGGCTGATGCAACTCCTGTTACCTACTCCCATCATCCAGCCCTGAGATCCCCCAGAAACCTTCCTCCCGCCCTGGGTGCTCCATCAGCCTGACACCTGGGTGTCCTGTCTCAATCCTCAACCTTCCCTTGTCCTGGCTGAATCACTCCACTCCCACCTTCAGCACTGGGACTCAGGCCCCTCCCAGGCCGACAGGCAGAGGCTCCCGCTGGACAGGCAGCTTGCCTCCCCTCTGGGCCTGGTTTCTCAGGGAAAGAGCTTTGCCTCCTCCATCTGCATCTCACTTAAGCTGATCTCAGGTGTAAATCTTAAGACAGGTGCCAGGTGGGGCCCAGACATGAAAAAGGGACTGAAGTCCCTGGTACAGAGCAGGGCCCCCCACAACGTGTATTTGTTCCTTCTTCTGGGACAGGGGACTTCTCCCTGGCATCAAAGAGGTGGCCAAGATGCGTCCCTGGCACCCAGCCTGGGCTCCACTGAGCCTCAGGTATCTCACCCATCAGGTTGCCTCACAGCTCCCCCGAGCATATTAGATGTCAGCAAGAGGGTGGAAGGTGGGCCCAGGCCTTAAGGTGGCCCTCAGGTGGGGGCAGGCCTCCTGGACACGCCCTTATTCTCTGTCCTGTTTCCAGGCTCTGCCTCTTGGTTCAGTTTGGGATCCGAAGACCTTGAGAGGATGTAGATGACATCCTTACATGCACCCCATCAGGCACCTCCACCCAGCTTCTTAAGACCCCTGTCGCAGGTCTGAGCTGCAGGCTGCTTCAGAGAACAGGAGAGGTGTCTACAAAGTGATCCCTTCAGACGCCGAGGCGGGGAGGAACCGAGC